AGAAAAAGTGAGTGATGGGGAAATACGGCAGGTGTCGGAGAGGAGAGAGTGGGAGTGGATTTGCTCAAAATACCTTATATGCATGTATGGTATTCTCAATAAAATTTCTTTTAAAAGTTAAAAAAAAGAAAAGAAAAATGTGGACTGGACAATGTATTATCTAATCGCAGCCTTTCCTTGCACATGAGTAGTTTTGTGACGATAGTGGGACACAACTACAAGTCGGACTACACTAGGCGCAGGAGTGATAAACTTCTTCCTATGGTTTCCCAAGTGAAAATATGCCTAGAACATATTAGATTAGACAAATCTCAAACACCACACTAAATGTTTCTAAAGGATTTCAAATGTAATATCATGTTCCTTTTAAAAGCAATATTTCACCAAAAGATTTTGCATGTATGAAATAAAACTTATTTCCTTCTGGAACTCTTTGAAATTGGCAGTTTTCTTTAGGAAGAACTAGAGGGAGGTTGGCAAATCAGAAGCTCCCTTCATGAGAAGGGCAAATGAGGAGTGTTGCTTAACATAGCTGTCACTAACCAGCTCCATAACCATGAAGATGCTTCCTCAGCTCTCTAGAATAGCTGAGGGGCTTCACTGATCATTTTTAATAATGAGATTAAACAATATGACCTATAGAGTACATTTCTTCAAGATATCATGACTGTGCCTCACTTTGAATAAGATCAGTTTTATCACCTAATTTTCAACATCAGCAAACACTCATAGGCAAACATTTCAGAAGCCTGCCATTTCACCTTTGTTACTGATAAAATTTTATAGATCACAAATGGCAAAACCTCAACAAAGTAAAATTATTTTTAAGTATACAAATATATACAATAGTATTTTTTAAAAAGCAGAAGTGTGAGCAAGAAATTGTTTAAGTGACCCTTTTCTGTTCATATGAATATCTGTACTCACCGGAACAGCAGCTATAAGTGTGGGTCTCAGTACAGTACAGTCTCCTTTGCTTCCCTTTTTAATTTTGCTGGACTGCATTAACAAAAAACACATAATCAGGGGAAGAGATGCCAGCCACAAAACAATGTATTTCAAGTATTAAAAACAAAGACAGAATTTACACATGTGACTTAATCTTTTATTATACCATCTATTGCAAGTCCAAAAAGTGTTTTATTCTGTAGAATTGGCTTCTAGCACATCTCAGCTATCCTTCGAGGAGAAAATCTCATCCAGAATAGTAATAGAATTGGATGTGTTGATGAGATAAAGATTCTTATTCATAATGAACCATTAAATATAACAAAGACTACATTTTCAAGGAAATGTACATGCACACAAAGCTCCATTGAAATAGATTTCCTACTAAAACAAAATCGAAGGTATGCTTAAGTTTCTTTGATCAACCAATAGGCAAAGATACAGCTGAAAATCATCATCATATGGGCACCAATTAAGATCACACAAATGCAGTGGCTGGAGAGAAGGGTCAGCAGTTAAGAGCACTGACTGCTTTTGCAGAGTACCGGGGTTCAATTCCCAGCACCCACATGGAGGCTAACAACCGTCCAAAACTCCAGTTCCAGGGGGATCCAACTAATTCGTCTGACCTCCACGGGCACTGCACGACTGGAGTGTGCTTACACACCTTCATGCAATACACTCATACATGTAAAAAATAAAGTGTTAAAGAAAGATCACACAAATAATAATTTGACAACGTTCTGGATGGTAGCACAGTAAGGATCATGTCAGTGGCCAAGTGGTAATATGCACATACATACATCAACGTGCACATTTTCTTCCATTAATAAATAGCATTTAGGATTTCAAATGTCAGATCAATAGGTAGAAAGCTGATAAAGCCATCCACCGGAAAAATGCAACTAGAAAGAAGAATCTCCTATAATGTAGTCATTAGTTTATGAATTCAGATGAATTGCGTGTTAATCAGACTAACACAGGGAAGAGGAAAACTTGCTGTTAAGAAGCAGTGAGATCCTTAAGTTCCAGCTTGGCCATACAGAAGATTCTGCTGGTGAACTCAACTGATTTTCTCTTAACTTTTCCTAAATATGGAGAAAGCCAACAAGGTAACTCGTATTTTATATGGATATGAGTGTGTGCACATTTGTGAGTGGGAACCTATACAAAAGTCTGCCTGCACACTATGCAGAGGGAAAAGGGGCTCTCAAATCCTTCAGGTGGGAGTTGCCCTGTGTGTCACTGAACTCGCTCTTTCCTTCCTTTCTTTCTTCCTTCCTTCCTTCCTTCCTTCCTTCCTTCCTTCCTTCCTTCCTTCCTTCCTTCCTTCCTTTCTTAACTGTAGAACAGTCCAGAGCAGCAGGACCAACAGAGGGCTTCCTTGTTTTTATTATATTCTTAGTAAGAGACATTGACTATACATTATTCAAAATGCTTGGGACAAAAAGTGTGATGCCATATTTTCAGTTCCTTTGCCTTTAATTACAGTAATCCTGGTTGTTATTATATTTCTATCACTTGCTACATGTCTCTGGTTCTCTCATGTTTTCCTATTTAATAATGATTCCTGAGTTTTAGATTCCTAGTAAAATTCAAAATCCCTATAGTAAAGTTCATTTTAAAGCAGATAAGAAGTGTATGGAACAGGTTTCTAACGTCCTAGAACTTGGCAAGTATTAAGTCAGACCAGCAACAGACTCTATCTCTCCTTCCCCATACTGAGGCTATTGTTCTCAGAAAGGCAGTGGGAAAAAAGCAAAGCCAAAGCTTAGGGAAATGGTTTCACATTTCAATAGTGTCTCTGAACACAACAAAATCCCATTATAATGCCTCAATGCATAATCACCACAGGTTTTTCTTCAAAACGTGTTTTTAACAATTTAAGGCCAGTCTTCTCCACGAGTCTACTGTGACCTTACTAGACAAAGGTCTCATTTCAGCATTTACATAGTCGCTTTTACTATCCTAGCAGATTTTAAATGTAATCTTCAGGACAAGTGATGTAGTTAAGTGGAGTAGTACCCATTCTTACAAACAGATTGTGTTCTACAAAGTACAAAGTTGATAGCTGTTGAGGACAGAAAAGCAGAAACACACACACACACACACACACACACACACACACACACACACGAGTGCTTTTAGAATTTTAAATCCAAAAAATGTTTAACTATTTTGTCTTAGTACAATACAACCTATGTCATGCTCTCCCTAAACTGGTATTTATACAAAAAAAATGAAAAAAAATATTTCTAGGATGCATGTCCTTATAACCTGTACAGTCCATCAGACTCCTCCAAAAAGGCACTGTTGCCCAGAGGTCTGAGAAAGCACTACTGGGCCTCCAAGGATGGGAGCAGCAAGACCGGACATTCCTAACTATACTTACTTTACCTTTCTGAATGCTTAGAACCTTACAGCTACCTTAAAGGATTTCCCCCTATGCCTCCTGAGGCTTTTCTGTAGCAACTAATCCAAACAAGAAACATAAGAGATCTGTGCAACTTCTAACTTCAAATGCGCTAAAACTCTATGATCAATCCTGCCTGCTGTTGGGATTTCCACTATGAACAACAGAAAGAAAGGAGAAGAGTGGCCAGTGTACACCTGAGGGCTGCCCTTGCAGATGCTGTGCTGCTTGCTGTCCAGTAGAATTCCTACAAGGATGGAATTACTCCATATCTGTGCTGTTGAACATGACAGCAGTTGCTCACATAAGTACTGAAAAATCTGAAATGTGGCTAGAGAAAGCAAGAAACCAAGCATGTTAAATCTGATTTTAATCAATTTCTATTTAATGATGTGGCTAATTCCTACTGTACTGGTTGGCACAGGCCAAGAATAAATTCGGGAGAAAACTAGGCCTAAATACTTTGTCTCTTCTAAAGAACCAGCTAATGCTCCTGAACACTTTGTCAAAAGTCAGTGGATTTGTATCCTATCACACTCTCCAGAGTAAAAACCTCATATAGAAAGATGAAGGTAATTATTTCAAAATAATTTTAAAATATGTGCCTAAAGGAATGCTAACAACCAAGTCATTTACATATGGTTCAGAAAAGTATATTTGACACCACAAAGAACATTTTACTGAATAAAAACATTTCATGTTTTAGTAATAAGTCAAACAATGTAGCTTAGTATGATCAAAAATGAAGAAAAAGTTTGTCACCTGGTCAGACAGTGTCAGTGGAGAAGAGTATCCAATCCTACAGCCATAGGTAAAGCAAGATATCTCTGCTGTCAATTCTAGCACATGAGCCAAAGGCAAGTAACCAATGTATGTGTCCTTTGGTCTGAAACAAAGAGAAACATTTTAACAACTCCTAAGAAGGCATTTTAAATTACAAACATACCATCAAGAACTTTATATTTTACTACAGACTGAGTTTTCAAAATGCTGTAAACTCTGTATTTCAAAGAATGAAGCAGAGTGTCTGTCTCTCTTACCCTAGCCCGGGTATTCTTTCACATTGGCCTGTCATTCCAGCTACCAAATTGCTATGATGCATCATCACTCCCTTAGGTCGACCAGTAGAACCACTGGTATACATCACAATGGCCATGTCTGAAGGAGTCGGTCTATTTGGAGGAATGCTTGCTACATGAATAAAACAACACATATTCTTCAGTTGAGAAGCTGAATTAGTCGACAGTACGGTATTTTTATTTTACAAAATGATACATACAGATGTCAACAAATAGTCTAGACTGACAACCAATTAAAAATGCTTAGCAAATTCTGGTTATCTGAAATGAGGATTTCAAACTCAATCTGGCCCATTTTTCTACATCGTTAGCCTAACCCCCATCTATTCATAACTCTTCATAGTATTATGTACAGAGCAGTGTTTGGGAAGGATTTCTAAGGTTTTAGAAAATCAGGAGAATAACATCATGTGTAAATTCCTCAGTCCTTAATTATCTCATCTCTAAAATGTGTCAGCTAAACTGGATTGTGGTTCGCAACCCACGGTGGGCATTAGAATCACCTGCAGAGCACTGCCACAATAATATTTCTGACTCCATTTCTGAAAATTCCAATTTAGTTACATCTGGGATAGATCAAGAGTTCTAAAGTTGACTCTCATACCTGCCCCTGATTGATACCTATAAACAAGGCTTGATCTTTAAGGTGACTTCAACTCTAAAATTCCAAGGTACCAACTTTTGTAGAGCACACTAGAGCTGTACTTTTAAGACAGGATATCATGCCTATCCAGTAACCTCTTTTCCTTCCAAAAGTACACTAAAATGGCCAAAAATGCACAGATACCAGAATTAAATAACAGTATAAAAAGGCAAGACTTTTTAAATGTTTTAAAAAATCATATTTTACATACCAATTTTTTTAAAAAGCAAGATATACCACTGAAATGACCAAACTCAAAGTTATACACTTAAACAGTCTAAATCCATGTCCACGGTCACTGCTAGGAACAAAACTGAAAAAACTCTGTTGGGGATTAACTGAAGCAGCAGCAAATAGATATGGTACATTGTTCTCAGTCTACGCACACAAGAAGACATTTCTCATTTGTCCATTTCTTAAAAACATGTGAAATACATCATCATCATCATCATCATCATCATCATAATTATGTGCTTAGGTAAAGTACCACAAGTACTTATTTCCTAACTGCACAGAACTGTATACGTAATTATGTTATGATGTATTAAGATACATTATGATAATCCTCTTTACTAAGGAAAATTAGTACCACAAAAATATATACATCCTATGCATCCTAGAGATGAATGGACATCAGTGAAATACATGGTCTGCCATATTAGTGCTCAAATAAATTACGAGGATTGCTAAATTTCCTCTAAAGTTCTGTGTGTCAAAATGCTCTGGTGAATCATCCAAATTGGTCATAGATCCTGCTGATCAGAACTTCCCAGTCAAGAATACACTATCTGCCAGTGTCAGCCTGGTGGTAAGAGACAGTTCTCCCTGGACCTCTCCTGTTTCTGTGCATCTTGCCAACAGCAGCACTGATCTCCTCTGGGCTGTCGTTTCAAAGCGTGTTTACACTGAGAGAGTCTCTCTCTCCAGAGTGAAATCAGGCATGTTTACTCTCCAGAACAATAAAGATAATAAAAGATTTAGGCTCACAGTTTCTTTCCTATGACACAAATGCTAACATGATAAGTCTGACTATTGTTTTGAGTTTAGAAAAAAAAAAATTGTTTCTCCGGTAAAGTAAAATTCTGCCGTCTTCAAGAAATTTAGCACACTTACTTGTTCACTTGTAGACAGAGTAAAATGTCAGACTGACTGTCATTTTTGATACATGGTAGAAAGCTGTCACCTACACCCATTATTGTGACTGACTGTCATTTTTGATATATGGTAGAAAGCTGTCACCTACACCCATTATTGTGAACACATAATCATTCTCTAGTGGTAAAATTCTCTGAGGTGGGGCTGGAAAGATGACTCAGCTGTTAAGAGTACTGGCTGCTCTTGCAGAGGACCAAGGTTTGGTTCCCAGCTCCTACTGGAGGCTAACAACCATCCATAACTCCAGTTCCGGGGGATCGGCAGCCCCTTTTCTGGCCTCTGTGGGCACTGCACACACATGGTATATGTACTTACATACATACAAGCAAAACACTCAAATATATAAAATAAAAATTTTTAAGTTAAAAAAGGGAAGTTTCAGACAAACTGCCATAAAGTCTAGGCCATTTATTATAACTCAACTCCTAAGCAAATTTTAGATGATTATTTCTTTCAGGAGAAATGAAAAGAAAATGTTAATCATATGCAGTCTTGATCACTTTTAAATTGAAAAAGGAAACCTTAATCAGAGACCTTCAGCATTTTTACTCGTGTCACTTCTTTTATTAAACTGCTAAAATACCAAACCTTGAATAGATGAGGGGATTCATTTTCACTGCTTTACTTACAGTTTTCTGGCTTGGATCCCAACTCCTCTACTGACTGCATGCTGTGAATCGCAAACCGTTCAGGGTACTCTGCTTTATTGATGGTCTTATTATCCACATAAATGATGTGCCTAACAGAATTGATATCTAATAATGCAGTCTGTCAAGCAGAAAGAAAACCCAGCTATTTAATTTGGTATGCCAAAAATGTTCTCTTCAAGTCCTATCAGTTAATATTACCATACATTAAAAGAAAGTTTCACTGTTAAACAGAATTAAAGACAAATTCAGTGTGCTGTGATACTGTAAACACAATATACATAAACCATCCATGTCTTTAGGACGGAAACTCAAAATAACCAAAATGATTAAAAATAGTGGTAACTACACTAAGATGTTATAAGGCAGGAAATACAGAAATATATAAAACTGGGTATGAACATGTTTAAATGTAGTGGACAGGAACACAAGTAGAGTTTACTTACTAGTGTATTTTCTCTCTTTCTTTTAAGTCTTTTTGAGTCAGGGTCTCCCTGTAGCCCCAGCTATTCTGGAACTTGCCATGTAGACCAGGCTGGCCTTGAACTCAGAAAGATCTGCCTGCCTCTGCCTCCTAAGTGCTGGGATTAAAGGCATGGGTCACCACGCCCAGCTTAATATTATGATTATATGCCTTTCTCTTAATATCTTAATGTGGCTTGCCACAAGATATAGTTCTGTAAGCCTTACAGTAATGAAAGCAAATATCAATGCTAGGCAAATTAAAATAATAAGCAAGAGATCAAAATACATGACTAGAGTACACCATTTAACCTCAAAATTACAGTAAGAAATGGAGAAAAGACTACAACAAACAAGTCTCAACAAACTTTTAAAGTTAAAATCATATCAAATGAGGCTGGAGAGAAGGCTCAGAGGCTAAGTGTGCTCTTGCATAGGACCCAGGATTAGTTCCCAACATATAGGGCAGCTAACAACCATCTTTAACTTCAGTTCCGAGAGATCCTGGTGCCCATTTCTAACCTTAGGCACCAGGCATGCATGTGATGCACATACATTCATGTAGGCAAATACTCATACACATAAAAACAAAAATAAATTTTATAAAAGAAAATAATGCCAAGCATCTATTCTGACCATAGTACAATACAACTAGAAATTGCTAACAGGAAAACCTTTGTTATCTATGCAAATAAATGAAAATTAAACAACTGAAGCAAACAAATCAAGAAAGAAATTTATAACTTTCTTGAAACAAATGACAAAGGAGACAGAAGATACTAAAAACAGCTAGAAAACAACAAAAGTGGTATCAACAGTCAAGTTTATAGTAATCAAAGCCTTTATCAAAAAAGCAGAGAGGGTCTTAAAGAAACCATCACCGCAGGTCAAGGAACTAGAAAATCAAAGCCAAAAACAGCAGAAGGAAAGAGTGATATAGAACAGAGCTGAACTAAATGAGACTTAAAAAGACTTAAAACAAATGAAACCAAGACTTGGTTCTTCAAAAAGATAAGGGGCTGGGAAGATGTCTCACTTTGGAATTGTTTCAAGACATTAAAATGGAAAGGATTTTTTTTATAAAACCCACAAAAGCACAGAAAACTGAAGCAAAAACAAACAAAAACCCAAATGGCATTATAGCAAACTAAATAGTTTCTGAGCAGCATGGGAAACAATCATTAGAATGGAGAGACAATCCACAGAATGGGATAAAACACTGCAAGCTCTGCATCTGACCAAGGGCTGCTGCCCCAAATATACAAATAACCCCAGAAACTCAACAGCAAAAGTCAAATGACCCAACTGAACGTGTGCAGTAGATCTATGTAGACATTTCTCAAAAGACAACAGACCAATAGTCAGTCAATACATAACAAAATGCTCAGCATCACTAATCATCAGGAAAATGCAAATAAGAACCACAAGGAAATTTTACCATGTTCCCATAACAATACCTAATATCAAAAAGGTTAAAGGTACTTGCAAGTTCATAGAGAAAGGCAGACCGTTCCACACTGTTGGTGGGAATGTAAGTCAATACAGCTATTATTAAAAAAAAATGTGATCCTACCATTTGTAACAACCTGGCTGGAACTATCATTACTGTAAGTCATGACAGGCACAGAAAGATAAGTAACATACGATCCCACTCATGTGGAATGTGAGAAAAGTTTAGCTCATAGAATTTGAGGAGAGAATTGCAGTTACCGGAAACTGGGAAAACAGGAGGAGGAGTAGGAAGAAGACTTGATGATCGAGTCTAAGTTATAGTTTGATAGGAGCAACAGAATACGGTATACTATTATTGCACAGCAGGATGACTACAATGACAGTATATCATACATTTCAAAACCTTTTTAAGTATATATAAGTTTTCACCATAAAGAAATGAGAGACATGTTTGAGAATACATATATCAAAGCTGATTTAAACATTATACAATGTATTCATACATATAGTGAAACATCACATGGTACCACATTAATATGTACCCTTACGTTTTTATGTATTGGTTAAAAAATAAATTAAAAAAATTAAATATTTACCTTCAGTTTGCTTTCCAAAAGTTCGACACTAGTAATTAGATAGGAAGCCTCAGATTCATTTAATCCATGAACTATAGCTTCTTTGCCAAGTGTGGCATATAAAGTCACAACTACAAAATAAAAAGCAAACACAAATTATTGGATGATTAACAATTTTAGAAAGGTATGCTAGTTAAGCCAGGCCTTACCGTTGGTACACTACAGATAGAAAAACACTTTATAGTTTGATTTTATTTCATAGTCTCCCTGGTACCCCAAAATTAACCGTACAGTTTCCCAGGAATCAAACTGAAATGCTCAAGGTCCACAGGTCCAAGCTGAAGTCAGGTCAGAGACAGCCCAGCAAGGACTCCCTTGTGGTACACACTTTCATTAATTATTGCCCCAAAGAACGGAAAATTTTTTGAAAATTTTCAGGATCTCATATTAGATGACTAGTCACAAATAATGTCCTTTGTCCTTTGAAAAAGCTTGTTCAGTAAGTTCAATTTCTTATCAGACTGGTGACCTCCATACCTAGACGTCACATAGAAGAAATCCTATAGGATCTACCTAGAGGCCAGTAGATCTGTTGATAAGAACCCACCAGACAAACCATAAAAAGACACCAAAATCAGTCAGAATTGAGCAAGAACTGCTAAACTTAGGACATGGAAATTGAGCTTTTGGCTGGTAACCAGAAATAGCAACATGGTCACTAACAGTCACTTTCCACTGTTGATTGTTAAAGACGATTGATAGCTATATAAGGGAACATTTTTGTATTGTCCATTTTTGTCTCTTTGAAATAAACATTGGATCCTACACTCAACCTGCACCACTCTGTTTCCTGAAATAACCAAGTGCTTAGAATATGGCAAGACATTTCTGAACTCAATTTTGAAAAATTATTTCTTGTACAATAGCAAAAACAAATGCTTACAATCCAGAAGCCAACCCAGTTTTGCTTGTTATCTACCACCTCATGCTGGCAGATCGTTAGTTATTTCATATGAAAAATAGAGTAAGTCAAACAAGAGGACACAAAATGTAAGAATGAATTAAAATTGTGTAGGCAACTTTTGTTGTTTAAGTCCTTTGGTTTACAGTCTCCAAAAACCATAACCTCCAAGCCCTAAATATTTCAGGCATAATTCATTTCCAGTTAAAAAACAAAATTCTGAACTAAACCTACTAAGTTGTTACCTTTAATAGGAGCTATTGGCTATCTGTTTCTCTCTCTCTCTCTCTCTCTCTCTCTCTCTCTCTCTCTCTCTCTCTCTGTGTGTGTGTGTGTGTGTGTGTGTGTCTGTACAATGAGTGTGCAGGTACACATGTGCCACAGTGTACGTGTGGAAGTTAAGGACAAGTTTGTGTGCTGGTCCTTACTGCCCACTCTGTTTAAGACAGGGTTTTCGTTATTTTTTACAGGCTAGCTGGTCCATGAGCATCCAAGGACTCATATGTCTCCTCCTTCCATCTTGCCGTAGGAAAGCTGGGATTACAGATGCATACCACTTCATCTGACTTTATATGGGTTCTGGTGATGCGAACGCAGGTCTTCACACGTGCACAGCAAGGGCTTTATCCAAGCTATCTGGTTTATGGGCATAATTCATACAGAAAAATGGCTAAGGAATACCTTATTCATTTCAAATATTGTTTATTTTTCATGTTTATTCTTTTTCACAGTGCTGGGGAACAAAACCGTGATCTCATGTGTACAATGCAAGTTCCTTACCAGCAGAGTTAGTCTCAGCCCTACTTTGAAAAACAGGAGCATCTAAGAACAAGCTTCACATATAAGCCAAGCCCTCCCTCGTGAAAAACATGAGAAACTTACGGGGAAAGTTGTACTTGAAGCAGGTCTGTGCTGCAATCATCCACTCGGCCCTGGTCTCACAGAAGATGGCAATGGTATGCTTTGGCTTCAGTCCCAATGCAGTGAGCCCACTCCCAAAGTTACTCACTCTGCGGTTCACTTCAAGGTAGTTTATCCATTTATAATTCCCAAGAATTAACTGTTAAAAGTGAGACACTCTCTAATATTAATATATTCATACAAATATGCAACTAAAATATTACTGAAAATACTGAAGTCTTAAAATCCCTCTTACATGAGTACACAGAAACTTTGAGAACTTCTGAGAAAATTCATTACAAAGCACTGTGACAGAGTGCCAGCATCCTTAAAATGCACATGACTTATTACAAAGCAGTTATTGTTGCTCAAATGAATAAAAACACACTTATTACAAAGCAATTCTTATTGTTAAAATGAACAAAAAGCACAAAACTGCCTTACCTTCTTAAACACCTTTCCATTTGGCTGCATTTCATTTTCTTCACTTAGGATTTCCCTGACCCCAAGGCTGTCCTTCTTCCCAAACTTGGCTACAGCATGGTCAAATAATTTATCCAGAGTGTCTGCTCCAGGGATGTTTATGACTGCTAGCGAGTCGAAGTGCGTGACAGAGCGATATGGACTTCCGGGTTTGTCTGAAGTGGGCTTAGCTTTTATTCTCTTTGCCATAGCGTTTTTCTTCTTGGCATTGGTAAGAAAATACCATGGAATAAATATAAGGGCACTGTATATTGTTATTAACAAGTGGACAGGCAGCAAAATAATGGTGAGTACATTTAGCTTAAGTTTCATAGTGGAAAGGCTTCTAAAATGGTGCTTATTTCTTGTAAGTCTTTGGCTTCGGAAAGCCTTATTTTTTTGAAGAAGGCAATAATGGAAGTAGCAGCAAGAGGAGCAGTATAGCCAAGGTAGTTCAATTTTAGCGATACAGATAAAAGTTAGTAATCTTTGGAAGCCGATAATAAAATACACCTGTAGGTAAAGACAACGAATCAGGCAGAAAATAGGGAAAAAACAACAACAACAACAACAAAAAAAAAAAAACCCAAAAGAATATTACCCAGTTGATAGCACAATTGATTTAAATACTCAGATCTTTATTAGTTTATATAATTAATTTAATACAGAAAGGTGAAGTAACTGGTATGAAATACTGGGCACTTTTTAAGTTCAATCGTGATTGACATAAATGTCTGTCTTTTACTGCAACAGTGTACAATGGTACTCTGTGCATCATTCTACTGTCAGGCAAGGAACAGTAATTTTATGCTTCCACGAATACATGATGTTGCTTCTTAGGTTTAGACAAACTCTGGGAGAACAGACTACACCAATAATGAAATTTCTCTTAAAGCGGTCTATCAAAACTAGGCAACCTTGAAGCGCTGAGGGCAACCTACCAAGTTAGTTTTCTTATTCAAAGAACATCTAAGAAATATTATCCTGAGTTCTTTATTAAGGTAAGTTTCTGAGACAATGCTGATTGCTACCTTCTATTCTGCAAACGGGAACAACACAACTATAAAATTATTTCCCAAGTGGTCATGTTGTGCTCAAAAGCACCCCAGTGGCCCTGGACAAGTAGTGTATATCTAAGGTCATATGAAGTCCTGGCCCTGACCTCTTAGAAGTTAGTACACCCGAGGCAGTTAGCATGTACAGCGGATCTAATACTGTTTCAAACTGGGAGGGTGTGTCAGAGCAGGGAGAGAAGCTAAACCATTTCTTTCAATAAGACTCATGCAGACTGCCCATACATGTCCTTCGAGTTACTCTAGGTAAAGCAGGATCTGGGATGTCCTTGGTCCCACTGTAACCCCCTGGAACTCCACTCCCAAGGTGACCACTAAAGCACTGTAACTGAGGAGCAATGAGGCGATACATAACTGAGTGCTCAGTGTGCAGCACAAACAACAGGGGCCAGGAGACTTGGAGGAAACACAGAATGGCCAAGAGTACATAGCAGGGGGCTTGGTGATCAATAGGTTTTAAGATGGACCCTATGCCAGACACCTGGAAATGGGGGAAGAATGGAGAGCAGTTGGCTAGGTAGCCACATGAAGATACAGAGAAAAGGGTGAAAGAAGTTTGGGAGAGGAGGGAAGCAGAATAAGTAAGATATACTAGCTTGACCAGGGCATGGGATGTTGGCTAAACAGGCAATGGGAACTTAGGATCTGACAGATCAAAGTAATTTTCATTTGGTTAGTGGGTAAACTGGGGGCCACTGAAAAGCTACTACCAAGAAACTTAAGTAGCATCCTCAGGGGTAACATCTCTCAGGGACTCTGCCTTCCACTGAGAAAGCTATTTTTGGTGAGTAAATGCATATTTCAACCACAAAATTTTAAATATTAATTTGTTTGAAAGAGAGAAACTGAAACCCATCCTTCCTCAACTCAGGGAAATATACTTCATTCACCTCACTGCAGAATGGTTGCTTGTTTTCACAGGGATTAATGGAAATTGATATAGTGAAATCCCACCTGTGCATTGGCTTACATCTTTTAGCTGAGTGTGGTGAAATGAATGAGAAACTTGAAGACACTGGGGTTCAATACATGTCTCTGCCACTACCTGGCTGCGTAACCTTGAACAAATGATCTATCTAGATTTGGGATTAGACCAGATCAAGTAGACCATAACCTTTTCAAAGGAATGGATCCTTTGCAAATCCAGTGAAAACTATGAATTCTATTCATTACAGAAAGATTTGTGAAGTGATCCATCCATACGCTCAAGGGATTCATGGCTTTCCTGAAAACATTCAACGAACCCCCATAGGTGACACCAACCCTGAACTAAGAATTTCTGGCGTATGATTTCTTTGAGCCTTTCCAAATTTAAATTCTGATTTAAACTACACCCATAAATTGCTTTCTTGGTCTGAGAAGTCAGTCTGGTATTCATTTCTTCAAGATAAGGTAGGCCAAGTGTCTGTGGTAGATTAACAAATAACCAAGATCACCACTATTCTATCTGAAATTTGTTAAGTGCCTTTATTCCACAATAATCTTTCCTTTCTCTACTTTCCTACATTATTCACAATATCTATTCTTCATTTTGGTACTGGTTATGACATCATTTCCAAGCATCTGGGCAGCTACCTATAGACAGAGATCAGTAGCTCTAAACTCTATTAGACCTACCTCTTACTTATTAAAAAGGTGCTTTAATACTCCATAATAAACTTTAAAGGACAGTCACAGATAGGCTAATCACATGCAAAATTTTTAATGTAATTTCTTACTGGACACATAAAAAGTCCAAAAGCTGATTAATTAATAGAAGGTGTCTCCCTTAACAGAAGACACTCAGTTGTTTATATAAATTCTTGGGAACAAGGTTTAAGGATAAAAAGGCATGTCTTCAAATTTCTACAATGCCCCTAAGGGACAGTATCACCCACCCTTAATGACAAATTGTTAAACTTAAGGTAAAAAAATATGCGAAGTACTAGAAAGTTACCTCTGAGACTTATAATTTATTCGAATATAAACTGTAATGTATGTTTTTATTCCTTTACCATATTATATATTTAATGCTTACACATACTGGTTTTTAAGTCTTGGTAGAAGAGAAATACTTCAGAGACATACACATGAACATCAACATTCTGCTATTGTACTAAGGGAAAATGAAATGTCGTCTACAAAGAAGTCTGATATCCCAGGCAGTGAGTGTGCTAAACCATCAAGTGGGACTTTGAACAAGTGATGTAATCTGTCACTTGAAATCTGTTATCAGTAGCTTCATCTGTAAAAGGGGAATGCTGTTTGCATTGGCTACATCAGTTTCCTTCAGGGAACCCTTTGTCTTCCTTTACTTAAATCCACGGGCAAGCATGGTCAGCCTCGGGCCTACTGTCTCAGCATTACTGTCACTGTCTCATGTTGCTTTACTTACTTGGCTAAACCACAACCTGGTCAATCCAATTCCCCACCTAATCTGCACCCACACAGGTAAAATTGAAGGAATGTATCACTGTGCCTAATGTCTTTAGGCTCTGCAGGATACACAGAAACCATATTGAACCAGTCTACCCACTGTTACCCTTCTAAATTTCTTGCCATATCTCTCTCTTCTGACAACCATTATTCCTCTTCCATCCTTGTCAGCTGCTGATCTGGTTTTCTGTTTTGCAGAGAATTTTGGAATACTATGGCGATGGCCTCCACAAGAGCGCACCTGCAACTCTATGGACACATCTACATGCCTCTGTGGACATATGCTCTTCTCTCTTCCATGATTAGATGAACGGTTGATGCTCCTAGCCTCTTATTGGGACACTATGCCTTTGTCTACTCATGGATGTGGTGGTACTGCTCTACTGAATCATTCTCATCAGCATTTCATCTTAAAAAGCAGTCCCGTTCTTGTATCTAACTCTCAGTTAGAGCCCACTTTGTCCTCCTTTTACACATCCTTATAAAGAGCTGTCTATGAACTCTGCTGCCCAGTCCCCACCTCTTGTCGCCTCTGATACCCACTACACTCAGATTTTGTTCTCTACCACTCAACTAAAGTGCTCTGATCAGTGTCACCAATGACTTCCCCACAGGTCATTTAAGCTCTGTCCTCATCTTTTTCCCACAGGCAGCCATTAATATAGTTGCTTCCTTTCTGGCCTGGAATTCCTTCACTTCACTTTTGGAACACCATATTCAAGTTTTCTTCTTATTCTATGGCATTCTCAGGTTTCCTGACCACTTCTTCCTCATTTCCCTGATCTCTAAATACTACAGTGTTCAGTCCTTCAGCTGGTCCTCTAGTTACACTCACTCCTGCAGTGATCTCAGAGATTGAAATACCAGAGATGAGACTGGGCATGGAGGCGCACTTTAATCCCAGCAGTCGGGAAGCAGAGGCAGGAGGATATCTATGAGTTCAAGGTTAGCCTGGCCTACATAGTAAGTTCCAGGGCAGCTGAGGCTGTAGTCTCAAAAATTCTTATGAAGATGATTCCCACATAAGCCTGAAAGTCTCCTTTAAACTAAATTTACATAACCTTAACTGTTTCTTCAATGGATAAATTTACAAGTCTATTAAGTACCTTAATTTGGCAAGTTCAAATCTCAGCCACCGATTCTTCTTCTACCCCTGCATCTGGCCAGGTTGGCCTGTTTCTGCATATTCCCTACTCCTCAAGTTTCTGATGTCACCTCCTGCAATGCTTTCTCCTGGCACAACTGCTTCAGCCCCACTTGTTTTTCACTGTTCCTGGGACATGCCAAGACCACCTGTGACTTAGGGCCTTGGTGTTTACTGTTCTTTCTGCCTGAATTAGTCTCACAAAATACCTGTGTATGTCATTTCCTTGCCATCTTTTTTGTCTTTATCCAAATAGCATCTCAGTTAGGCCTTCTTGAACCACTCTCCTTTAAAAACATATGTTTTCCACTTCCTTTCTTGTTTTGTTTTTCTCCTTATCGCCTTTTCACTAATATACTACTGCTCTGATTTTTCATGTTTATCATCTATGTTCCATTAGAAAAAGAAGCTTCATGATGAGGCAGTTTGCCGCTGAAGCCTCACCGAGAGCCATCCTTCCATGTGTTAGGTGTTCAATAAATGTGTTGAATCAGAATGTACATGAGAGTGTTCTGAATTAGAAAGTGAAATATACACATGCACAACAGTCTGAATGTACTTAATTTCAGTCAGACTTTATAAAATATCATACTGATATTCTGGGAAATACTATGCTCTTAAAACCCTCAGTAATTAAAAGAAACTTGAATAAGTTATTGGTTGCTTAATAGAAAATATGAAACCGGAAAAACTCCCTATTGCAGAGGGAAAAGATTAGCGTTATAAAAGCAGAAAGGTTACACAATTTACACTGTGGCTTTTTGCTGATGCCTTTCATAAAGGTATGTTGTCCTTCCCTGTATGAAAAATATACTGCTGTCCCCTTCATAAGAAGATATGAACTCTGAGTTATGCTTCCTTGAAATCAGGTAATGGGTTTT